TGTGAATGCTGAATTCTGTCCCATCTTTCCTGATGAGCATAGTCACTCATTTGTATGTGCCCTAAAATCAGCTACTCCCGGTTTCCACATCCCTTTGTGTGCCACAAGTTGCTGCTTTCTCTGCCTAGCTTCATGGCCTGTGGGTTTGTGCAGTGCATACCTTCTTCCAGAAGACCCTCTTCCCTATACCCCTCATTGTGGCAAGCCAAAGTGTTAACCTGATCATACTGGCAGATGGGGAGAGAAAACGAACCGCTAAACTCTGTGTTGGAGGCAGGTAATGGGGTAGGGAAGGTCAAAAAGTCTGCCAGCATTTTCAGACCCAGCCTCCTCTGAAAACCACACTTGACCTCTTTGGCTTATTACTACAGAGAATAGGACAAGTGTCCTTCCCAACCTGAGCTTAAATTTCTCAGGGGGTCTATTACTAGTCTGCTCCCTATTGATGACTGTATCTTGGGCCATCTCCTACCCAGTCACTAGGGGAGGCAAACCACAGAAATCCTGAATCATAGTTGTTTGTGGATTCTGATTCCTGGGGTATCTCAGTCTTAAGAACAATTAACCTCTTCCCCAAAGGCTCCTGATTGATCATTCTCAAATATGGTGTATGCTGCATTAAATTTCTTTTCTGACTGTAGCCTGGAAAAAGTTGGAAGGAATTACTTTCAGAGTAAAGTCCCACACTGTATTTACAGTGTATAATAACCATGGACTTTTCCTGGGGTTAGCATAGTCCATTGTTTGGGTGAGGCTGCATACCCTCTCCAGGCTTACATTGTGCTTTGTTTAGGTTTTTTTTTTTTTTTTTTTTTTTTTTTTTTTTTTGCACTGGGGATCAGACTCTGGAACTCTGGACCTTGCACTTGTGAGGCAAGTGGAGGCAAGACTGAGCTAAATCCCCGGCCCCTTATATGGTGTTTGGACAGACAGACCCTCCTTTCTGGGAGCCAGGGTTAACATTTCAGTCTGCTTTCTTTTCCCTTTGTTTTCCTCAGATTCTCCAGTTTCTCTGTGATTTCTACTTTTTCTATCAGTTCTTTCTTATTCCTAGAACTTTTCTTCTTTTCCTTTTCACTAAGTTGCTGTTTTCAATTTATCACAAGTCCAGGTCCTGCAGATACTATGACATCCAGCCAGATACTACATGTCATCTCTAGGAAAAGCCCTCAAATGCTTCTTAAAAAATCAACTCCTCATAGAGATCTCACTATGAAGAGCAAAACCTTACAGTACAATTTAGAACAATATACTTATCTCTAGAAGACAAAGATTTCCTAACCTATTTCCTCTTTGCTCCAAGAATGCTTGAGCATTACAGTTCGAACCTTACTCCTGAAGTTTGCCACAAAGTATCTGGATTTTGTTATTATTTTCATATCACTCTAGTATATCCATAGTCTTTGGAAACAAAGGATACCATCCTATTTATAGCATCCTGGTTTTGTTGGTGGTATTTCCATTATTAAAATCTAGTAATTCTCCATTGTTGAAAACTAAAAAAGCACTGGGAGCAAGCTGTAATTCTTTTTGTTTGTTTGTTTCTAAATGAGAATTATGCAGGTTTCCAAAAGTATAAGACCCAGAGTAAAGGTTTTTAAATTTTATAATAGCGGCTTTAAGAATCTACTGTGTGCCACTTAGAAACTCATTCTATTGAGGTCAATATCACCCCAATACCATGAGCAGAAAAGGACACACAATAAATGAGATCTATAGATCAAGATCCTTAATGAACACAGACACAAAAATACTTGCAAACTGAATTCAATAATGCATTTATAAGCTCATACACCTTAATCGTGTTTGTTTCATCCCAATTAACTCCAGAACACCAAATAATTCAATCAAAAAATAGGCTAATGAACACTTGTCAAAAGAAGAAATACAAATGGTCAATAATTACATTTTTTAAATGTTCAACATTTCCAATCACCGTAAAATTAAAATTAAAATACATTAAGATTCACTTTCACTCCAGTTAGAATGGCTGAGGTATCACTGAGAATACAGTAACATGAAACTATACCAGAAAGGATGCGGGGGGGAAAAAGGAATCTTCCGCACTGCTGGAGGGGATACAAAATAGTGTAACCACTGTGGAAGTCAATATAGAGGCTCCTCAAAAACTAAAAATAGAATTATCCCCCAAAATGTATGAGCCAGGTATCTACCTGAAGGAACTGGTCATCATACTGCACAGATTACTACACATTTCTGTTTACTGCCCAATTCGCAGTAGCCATATACAGCAAACTCTTACTAATAGATAATAAAAAGACAATCCGATTTAAAATTGGACAAAGGATCAGCATAAATATTTTTCCAAAGATACACAAGTGCCCCACAGTCATGTAGAAAGATATTCAACATCACTAGCCCTATGGGAAATACAAATGAGAGCTAAACTGAAATACGGTCTCATACCTGTGATATTGATTATAGTCATCTACTACTAAAATCAAAAGACAGATAAGTCAGTAAGAATATGGCCAAATCAAAACCTTCATCCCTGGCACCGGGAAACAAAAACAACCCTTCACACACCATGTATGCAGAATGGTGCAGCCACTTTGGAAAACAGTCTGGCAGTTTCCTTAAAAAGTTAAACATGGAGTTACTCTGTGACTTGGCGATTCCACTCCTAAGTAGATACTGAAGAAATGAAAATATATGTTCACAGAAAATTATGCACACAAACATTCATAATGTTCAACTTTATTCGTAACAGCCAAGGGATGGAAATAACCCAGATGTCTATCAGCTGATGAATGGACAAAGAAAATGTGGCACATCCGTACAATGAAAGGTTGCTCAGCAATAAAAAGAATGAAATGTCGAGACACGTTACAACATGAAGAAACCTCTAAAAACTTTATGCTAAGTGGCAGAAGTCAGTCACAAAAGACCGCATACTGTTTGGTTCCACTTTCAGGAAATGCCAGAGTAGGTGATCTGGACAGAAAGTCATGAGAGCAGAGGGACCTCTGGGGGAAAGGAGGAAGGGTTGCTAAGGGGTGAAGGGCTTCTCTGGGGAACGATAAGATATTGTAAAACTGACGGAGGTGATGATTGCACAGCTGCATAAACTAAAAACCACTCAGTTGTACCCTTTAAATGAATGACTGTTAAGGTATGTGAATTAAATCTTAGTGAAGGCATTATAAAAAAATTAAAAACGGCTTAACCTCACTTAATATTGGATGGACGCAAATGAAAGTCACAGTAACACATCATTTTACTGTAAGCAGGCAGAAAAGTTAACACATTGGAAAATTCCAAGTATTGCATTGTATGATTGCAGAATGACAAATTTCATCCGCTGCTTAGCAAAGTACAAGCTGGAGCTGCCACTCTGGAAAACAGGTTGGCACTAACCCACGCTGACCGTGCAAATTCTCTTTCATCTGACACCAGCAGATGTGTGTGACAATGTTCCTAACAACAGAAGGCTCGGCACAGCCCAAATGCCCATGAGATGCGGAATGGATTCAAGCCACTGGGACGGAGCAGCCACCTTACTAATTGTCCCACCCAAACTTTGCCCATGTGGGATGGGACGGACTATACACCGCAGTTGGGTGCTAGGAGAGGAGAATGGCCCCAAACAACCAGCAGCATAAGCAAATCCCCTTTACACACAAGGTTTCGCCTATTTCTGCTCAGACGGCTCCAGACTCGCAGGCAATATGGGGGTGAATGCCTAACCCCCTCTCAGCCTCCCGCACAGCAGTGCACCCTCGATGAGTCCCCACGACCCAGGTCCTCAGAAAGACTGAGAGTAAGGGAAGTGGGGACTTGGGAATGGGTGTTTTCTAGGACAGATGTGGGCTATGGGTGAAGGACGTCATACCCCTCGCTATTCAGAGGAAAAGTAACAGCAGGCAGAAGGCACTCGTCCCCTGGCCACACCCTGTCCCAGAGAGTCAGGAAAAGACATAGAGAACGCTTCTGGATTCTCCAAGCTCAAACCAGTCCTCAGCTGGAGCCATCGGCCTTACCCGCTCCTCCACTCTCACCCAGGGGCAGGGGACAATCCAACTCCTCCTCCTCTCCTCTCCAGCCCCCTTAGGCACTGAAAGTACAAACAGTCTGTCTTCCCTACTCCTGGGAAAAGTACTTTCTTCTTGTTTCCTACCTGGGTTCCTAACTTCTCTTGTCATTCAGTTATTTCTTTTCTAAATGTGACATTTGTCCAGTTAGCCTTTCTGTTGATAAATCCTCATGGCTCGCTCACCAGCTTCCCTGGTGACACTGATGTCACTGACCTCCCTCCTCCCAACTGCTTGCTTTCCAGGGCACAGACTTCACATCATCCCGGAGGACCTCTCCTCCCACCCATCGCCCTCGCAGACCCCCAGTCCTGAATCTGCAACCTGGATCACCTGGCTACCGTCGGACTGGCACAGTGAAACTCCGTAATCATGGCTTTCGTACACTGTTTCTCTTTATAAAAAGGCAGCAGGGAGCTCTGTAGGTCACAGAGAGAAGGGGTTTTAAGAAGGGCTGCCAGGATATTAGGAAAAGAACACAGTCAAGTAATGCTTCAGCAATTCAAGTGGATTTTACCCCAAAGTCCAACCATTTTTCTGATAAATGTGATGAATGCTTACTTATTCTCAATACTTTGTAACATCACTGAAGAAATTAGAAACGCTTTCAGTTTTCTACTTTATACTACATGTTGCTTACATTCAATAAATTTTTGAGATAGCTTACCAAAGCAAATCTTAAAATAATGCAATAACAATAGTAAAGGAAAAATAAACTGAAGAGGAAGAAAATAAATATGCTAGCATGGTAGGAAATGCAGGTATACTGACTGACCACTAACTTTAGTTCTGAGTTTCCGAATAGCCAAAGCAAAAAAGGAAACTATACCAACATTTCTAATTAGAAAAACAGATTTTGTTTTGCTTTGCTTTGAAAGCAAATTCTAATGTTTAACAGAAAGGAAATATCCATTCATTTACCACAAAAGCATTGTTCTCAATACTTACAATGAGCCAGATTGTGCATAAGATGTTGGAAATGCATGTCAAGATGCTCTTTGCCCTCACAGACCTTGGAGTCTATTGGGAGAGACAAGAATGAATGAATGAATAAGTAGAGAAACAAGTACAACTGAAGAATGCACATGGAGTGCAGAAGATAACCAAGAACCAGGAAGGTTCCCCAAGGAGATGGCATTTTAAAGTGTTGCATCTGCACCCAGGGACGAGTCAGGAGGAAGAGGGCCATGGAAGTGAGTCTGAAGTGAAGACATCTGAAAATATACTGACAGGTCCTGCTCAGCAATGCTGCAGAGGGGCAAACTGGAACACAGGCTCCAGGTCCATAATTAACACACCTAGTTGTGAGGTCTTTGGGGGAGAAAGTCGAGGAGAAGTTTGAATACGAGGATGGCTGGAAGTGAGCCTTTCCTAAAGCAGCAGCAGGATTGTTCTAACGAGTCTTTAAGGGTACACATCCACCTGCTTATGTGTATGTGATCTTGCCTTAACTCCAAAGGTAAGAGAAATGATCTCATTTGGATACAACATGGCCCCCACACCTCTTCTTCAAGCAAAAGAGAGACAAATCAGAATTACAGTTTTACAGTGGAAACACACTTCAAGCTCATATTTAATATTTAATGTGTGAGAAATGTAGAGATTGAAAATCCAAAGAAAAGTTATTGGAAGTATTTGTTCCTTTATTGTTTATTGTTTTTTTTTTTTTTTTTTTTTTTTTTTGGTACCGGGGATTGAACGCTGGTCCTTGGGGCAGAACCACTGAGCTAAATCCCCAGCCCTTGTTCCTTTATTCTTTAGTCAGGCAAGGCAGGGGGTGGGGAGAAACAGAGACAGAGACACAGCAAGACAGAAAGACAGAGAGGTTGGAAGGGGAAATAGCAAAGGGAGAGGTGGAAACACAGGAAGAACTAGAGAAAGGAGGCGGCTGGAGCTTCTGCGTTAACAGGAATGTGATGTCAAAGAAAACTGACAAGCAGAAACCAGTCGAAATGCTGTTGCTATGGAGACACTGCACCATCTGTGTTCTTACTTAACCTGCACAAAAGAGTTATGTAACCTGGTCAGCAGATAAATGTTAAAGTGGACCCAACAGTAAAATGAGCTACTTTTACTTTTTAAAGAGTGAGTCTAAAATGAAAGACCTCACCACTGTTCTTACAACCCTCTCCCAGAGTGGCCCTTAGGAGATGAAAGCAATCTCCCATCAGGGAATCCGGAGATATCTGTAGCCCTGTAATGGCCCTGATTTTTAATCCTTGAGAGGCTATAGTTTGTATTAATTAGGCAGTGTCACAATACTTGATCTATTTATATAGTTTCAATCACAGTCACTTACAATTAAACCGAGGTAGTCTAAAACAATAACACTGTCCTTTACAAGGAAACGGGACTCTTCATTGACCAAAGGTGAATCCAGTAGGAGTGGGGACAAAATACACTCTCCCAAGCACAGAGAAGAGAATATTTTAACTTCACATCCCTCACTAGCACTTTCTTTTGTGAGTTTACAGGGGTTGTGATAAGAATTGTCTTTCTATACCTGGTAGAAAAGTCAATCCCAGATGAGGCCACCTACCCATGGCACACAGCATGAGATGTTAGGAATGTCAAGCTACAGAGAAGTAACTTCCAACCATTAACTGGGCAGGTGTTGGCTGTTGCCAGTTTTGTCCCCGATCTGCTTCTCAATCTCTGTAGAAAAATTACTTACAGTCCCCTGAATTCCAGCCATTCCCAAGTCTGTGTTTTTCCAGTTATCCTGCAGGCACCTGAAAATTCACATGTCTAAAGACTACTTCATGTTTTTCACAACCTATTACGTGTCTTGCTTCCTCTCTCCCAGTTAATGTCCAAGCTAGAAAATTCAAAGCTACACCCAAACTCTCTATCCATATAGCGTAGGTGGGTTATCTCTCCTGTCATGTCTTCGCCGAGATTTTCCTGTCACCAAACAGGCACTTTTCTTTTCAAGTTCATGGTGAAGGTTAAATGAGAAAGTGGGTGGTGAATGCTCAGAACAGTATCCAGCACTGATAAATGTTCAGCAAATAGCAGTGGTCTCATGATCATCCCCAGCCAGAAGAATTCATGGGTTCCCTTCTCTCTTCCTTGGGGTAGTACCTCTCCATTGGTCTACGGCTGCTGTCTGTTCCCTTCAGGGGCTGGATGTGAAGGGTACAGAGTAATTTATCTACGGCAGTTTTCCTGTCCTTGTTTTGATACCATGCATGGTGTGTGGGGAGCAGACAATTTGTCTTTTTAATTTACAGGCTTCCAGCTACAGAGACACATGTGAGAGATACACACAGGCAACACTGGGCCAGCGGTCCCTTCCTCTACGCCTGGGAGAGATGACTGAGCAGAGGCTGCAGCAGGATGAGCAGTGGAGGAAGGTGGTGATTACTGTCACTGCCTGTGGGAGGCATGTGAAGGAGGTGGAGTGTAGTAGGATGCTTCCAAAAGTGGCTGTTGGTGTTTCACATCCCACGCGCCTTTTACAATGTGACTTTGCCACGTTTATCCTCAAGAGCCAGTCTGTTTTCCCTCTCCTTGAATCTAGGCTGGCTTTGTGGCTTGCTTGGACACATAAAATGTGTCATAAATAATATAGGTCTTACGGCTTCTGTTTCCAATGTGTAAAGCTCTATTTTCACACTGTAAGAATGCTGCCCTGAGACCACCATATCCAAGGAAGGCCATGCTGACATCTGGGTATGATCAGTGTGCCACAACTGACAAACCCAGCTCAACTCAGCTCCCAGGAAGCTGCATATGGGTGCGGAATCACCCAGAAACCTATCAAATGAGAGAAAAAATGAATAATGGAACACTTAATCCTATAAATAAATACCATCATAATCCGGTTCCGATCTGCCATTATACTTTCTGTGCTTGAAGTTGCATCTTTATATTAAGAAGATTGTAACTTTCCTCACACAGTATTATCCAAGGCCATCTTGAATTTTTAAAGTTGTGATAAATCTGTTATATTCATAGTAAATTTTTAAAGGGGAGAGACATTAATTCAACAAATACAACCTAGGTTGCAACTGCTGGTGCAGAATTCAATACATGCTTGTCAGAGTGTGAGTTTTACAAATAAAAACTTTGAGCAGGTGTCCTTGGCCTAGATGGTTTGATTAAACACATTCAAAAGATAAATGATTCTTGCTGAGTGAGCTAGGAAACAGAACGGAATGGCTGAAGGTATTATGTCAGTTGGTTACTACACCATGAAAGTTGTGGAGGAAGCATTTGTCATCTGGAAATAGGATCTTGATGAAAATTTTTCCTTAGGGTATTTCTTCTTGGAAGTTTGGTTACCAACTTAATATTTAAACTCCCAAACAGAAAGAATCTAAAAGCTTCTAATTTAAAATAAACAATAACGTAATGAAATGTTCAGAGTCTTTCAAAGACCAATGGAAGATTGGCTGGCTTTGCAAGTCTGGAACTCATGCCGATGGGGTGAGAGAGTTGTTGCAGAGGTAGGAGACAGGTGGACCGGCTGGCCAAGGGAGTGCCACACACCAGCCAGCCAGTGGCCTGCTGAGTTCAGGTGGGAAATGCACGGGATGTGTCCATTGAAGAAAAGGAAGGTTTTGTTGTGGTTTGGGTTCTGCATATGCCTGAAGTTCAGGAAAATTCACACGCCAAATTTTTAGGGTTTGGGGGTAGGTGTGCTTTCTCTAACTCTTCTCAGTAATATACACGTCTATACCTTCTTTTGTTTTCTCAGGTCTCAGGGAAATTTGTTTTCCTCATATTGAGAAATATGTTCGTTCTGGAAGAATTCTGACCCTCTGTTGTGACAATGACGATTCTAGGCCACTTTTCTCACCACCATGCAGACAGCCAGGTGAGCTGTGCCAGGATTCGCACTGCACCTCCCAGGAAAACAGTCTGGCCTTGGTGCCTGGCTGGCAACAGACCCCATAGAAAACATTTGCTTTTTGGTTAAAACATCACAGGTTATTGTGTCAAGGAAATTTGATATTTGGCTTTTTATAAATCGGAAACCCACATTCTTCCTTTTGACTCCATACCATCTTTTTTTCTTTTTTGTCATTGAAGCTCAGGATAGTTTCAGATGAATGTATATAAATGAACAACTTTTCTCATTTATTTACGTACTAAAATCTGGATTAAAAAGTTCTACTACTAGACACATTTTAGGAATAATACTGTTATCTACAAATGCTTCTTCTTTCTTCTCTTAAAGAAAATTTGGTTTTGGACATTCATTATTTTCAAAATTAAACACTGGGTTCCAGTCTGAGATAGATGTAAACATTTTTATCATGGGTGTTTAAAAGGAAAGCATACTATGTATGCTTCTTTATTAGGATAGAAACAGCCTCTCATTTTGGGAGATCATCAATCCTTTAGCAGGGACTGACTGCTGACTTTACCACCTGACCCCGTCCCTCTTTTCCCTCCCTCCCTGTTTTATAAGAATGTAAATAACCTACTTCACAACACAACCTTCAGTACAGAGCTCCCAGGCTCCTATGGTCTCCACTGACTCAGTCTGGTGCAGCTGGCTTTAGTTTTCTTCCTTTGGAGCATCCCAGCCCCGGCTGATTCCTGTAGCTCCAAGCCCCCAGTGGCAGAACTCTGGCCAGTGCCTTAGTGCATGAACGTATGAAAAAATCAGCAGTCTTGTTACAGGCATCGAGGACAGAGAGCAGAGTCCTGGAATAGTAGGCCCCAAACACACAGATGGGCAAGCCAAGAGTGCTGAGCTCCCCACTTAGCAGGCCGAAGGCAGAATTCTCTTCTTACTTAAAATAAGAATGTCCCTTATGTCTTCATTATCACTATCTCCCCAGGCCTAAGCACATGCTACTCAAGTGCTCCGTCACTGAGCTACACTCCCAGCCCTCCCTCCTTCCTTTAAACCCGCAGCGCTGTTGAGACTCTAACCCTCCGACACCGAGGGCCTACTGGACATTCCAACCTTCTTCTCCTCCCTTCTGCACTGCATTACCCCGTCCCATGGGGCAGCTGCACTCAGCACAGACACACTGCACTCTTGTGCGTCTCTTTAGTCACCA